ATATGTGTATATATAGGTGTGTGTGTGTATATATATACAGTATACATATAAGTGTGTGTGTGTGTGTCTTTTTTTCTTGTAAAAAAAAAAAGAAGGTAAATTAGAAATAATGTTGATTTTATTCATTATTTGATTGATCCATTTTTTGACATTGACATTTTTTCCCTGACAACATGGCCTTGATGATGATCAACTGAACAGTCACTGCAGAGTCGTAAGTTATTGCGTTTTGATTAATGATTATGTACATAATTTTCTTCTTCAGAATACTATGGACTGATTAATTGTGTACAATAAGCTCATATATATATATATATATATATATATATAAACAGTGTAATTTTAGTATCACAGTATACATATAAGTGTGTGTGTGTGTGTCTTTTTTTCTTGTAAAAAAAAAAAGAAGGTAAATGGGGTCAACAGTGATTTCAAGTTGACTTTAACTGTAATAGTGCCACAGTATTCATTCATTTAAATAATAGAAATTGAAGTACATTCATTTTAAAAATAGCTCAGTCTCTCTGTATATTTTATGGGTAATGTATGAGAGAGTCGGACTAGGTGTGTGTGGATCAGTAATGTACTTTAATGCACAGAGCTGCTGACCAGGCTAATGCTAATGTCAGTGCCACTGGTTCTGAAAATCTGAACGCTTCTGACACCATTAACCTCTCAGAAACGCCCTCAGCGGCCGGCGGGTATCTGTGTGCCTCTGCGGGTCAAACCGCCTGGCGTTTGGCAAGAACCATGTCATTTAGTAAGGGTAATTCTGCGTGCTTCCAGACACAGGTTTAACACACAGCGAGCCATGATATGGCAGCGTAAATGTTTCATAAGAAAGGGTGTGAAAGCGTTGTTACAGCAGATCACATTCTCACATTCACAGCAGCGCTCGTCGCTCTCCTTCTGTTTGGTTTTTTGGGACAGACTCTGGTAATTTTGTGCCGTTCAGAGGCGCCGCCTTTCCCCAGACCCCGAACATCAATTTTTCATCGCGCCGCATTCTCCGGCTATCAATAATAAAATGCTATATTGTTATAAATATTCTAAAAATAAAGTGTGATTTTCTGCCATGCAGCTGCAGGGATGAAAGTTTAATGTTTGTCTTGAAGGAAGCGGAGACGGTGATCCTGCGGTTTCTTCCCGGACGCAGACGGCAAAGTCCAACTTTAATTTCGTGCCTGCGCTTCTGGGCAGCCTTTAGGCCAGCGCAGACAAAAGCACAGCAATTATCCGCTTTAGAGCAGAAAATATCTGCCGTGTGCATTACTAGACATCATGCCTACTGGAGAGATTTCTGACAGCTGTGGTGGGAAAAAACTGATGCTCAAGTTGCTTTGGATAAAAGCGTCTGCAAAATGACTAAATGTAAATGTGAGAAAGTAAATTAAGAAAGTTATTAGGGTCATAGACTAAAAAACAAACAAGCAAACAAATAAATATTGAATGAATATTAGTAATAATGTGGTAAATTCAAGTGTTAAATTCAATTATTAAATTAAACTATTATTTTAGTTGGAAAATATTTATGGAAGCCCATTTCCATCACAGGATTAAAAAAATGTACTAAATTTACTTTTAAAAATTGATCTCACAACTTTTTTTCTTGCAATTCTGAATTTATATCTCACAATTATGAGAAAAGAGTACGATTCGCAAGATATAAACGTGCTATTCTGAGAAGAAAGTTCAGAATTGTGAGAATCTCGTAATTGCGAGAAAGTAAGAATTGTGGGATTAAAAAGTTGCAGTTATCTTTTTCATTTTTAATTCTGTGGCGGAAACAAATAAAACAATTGTGAGATATAAAGTGACTTTTTCTCAGAATTATATGCAAGTATATATATTACAATTCTGAGTTTTTATCTCACAATTAAGTTGCAATTACCAAGTTATTATTATTATACATTTGAGAAGATTGTTGGAATGTTGCATTTTATAATAATAATAATTATTATTGTTATTATTATTATTATTATTATTATTGTTGTTTTGCTGTTGTTTGTATTATTATTATTATTATATTACTAAATAAAAATATTAAACAAAATATGAAATATTACTATTGTAATTCTGCTTCTCTGTAAAATAAAAAAAAACATCTAGTATTTCAGAAATATATAACAATAACAGCAACAATAATAATTTTGTTTCACAGTACAACTAAAATTACAATACTACAATACTAATAAACCATCAAGGTTTTTTTTTTTTTAACAGAAAACCGCAGGGAGTCCTTAAAGCTTCTCTTTTTGACAACAGCAGGTTTATAAGTTTGTGAAGATAGTTGGCACTTGTTGCATGTTAAAGTGCACCTTATAAAGCAACCAAAGCTGCATTTACTACAAAATGACATTTACAAAGCAACATTTACTGCAAACCGAGACACTGAAAACACCGGCACAAAATGTTCACATGTAAATGAACACAGTGCCACACTTCATGCATCACATGCATTTATTTAATTACATTGCAGCCTTTGAGAAAATCACAATATGGCTTAGTGCCGTTACAGTTGAGGTCGAAAGTTTACATCCCCCTGAATTTGCAAAATGTTCATTATTTTACCAAAATAAGAGGGATCATACAAAATGCATGTTATTGTTTATTTAGTACTGACCTGAATAAGACATTTCACATAAAAGACATTTACATATAGCTCACAAGAGAAAATAATAGTTAAATTTATAAAAATTACCCCGTTCAAAAGATTCTTAATACTGTGTTGTTACCTGAATGATCCTATGATAGAACCTATGTCTCAATATGTAGATCGAGTTTTGAGACCTTTAGTGGAGAATCTTCCGTCGTATTTAAGGGACATGGGTGAGTTTCTAAAGCAGCTGAATAACATACATTTTGAGCAGGATGTGTCCGAACTCTTTCTTACAACCATGGATGTTGTCTAGCTATATACGAATATTCCCCATAAGAAAGGTTTAAAGGCTATGAAGTTTTTCTTGGAGCAAAGGAGTGAGGAATCTCCTCCTTCTGAGTTTGTTTTGGATATGATCTCATTGCTTTTAGAGAAAAACTATTTCATGTTTGAGGATGAATATTTCTTACAGAAACAGGGCGCTGCTATGGGTTCTAAGTTTTCTCCTGATTATGCATGCCTATTTATGGGCTATTTAGAAGGTGCTCACTAACACAGATTTAGACAGATTTGTGAACAATATTTGAGAGAAATAGGCCTTTTGTGTACATAGAAAAAGTCTTAGATCTTTGAGTTCAGCTCATGAAAAATGGGGGCAAAAACAAAAGTGTTGCGTTTATAATTTTGTTCAGTGTATTTGGGATAATAATCAGTTTTTGAGTAACATCGTGTTGTGGAAAAGATATGTTGACGACGTATTCTGTATTTTTAAGGGTTCCAGGAACAAGCTAGATGATTGTATCTTGCATCTTAACAATTTGGTGGATTCGATTAAATTTAATGTAGAAGTGGATACCGTTTCTGTATCTTTTCTTGATACTAGAGTTTCTTTCAAATCAGGGTCCTTGATCTCCACACTATATACAAAGCCTACTGATAAAAACAGCCGTTTGCACGCTACAAGTGCTCATACAACCTATTTGAAGAAGGCATTGCCTTATACGCAATTTCTCAGTTTAAAACGAATTTGCACTTGGATGATGCACTGGAGAGGATTCGAGGGTCTTCAGGAGAAGTAAATGTGCAACATGAAACCTTATCTGATGCACGGATTTGTAATAAAGTAAAATCTAATGCATTCTCGGTTATCTGTTCTACAACATATTCAAAACATAGTCGTGAGATTAACGATGTGATTCAAAAACATTGGCACATTCTAACCAGCGATCGTGTATGTGCACGCCTTTTCTCTGACCCCCCGTTATTCTCGCATTATAGCGCGAAGAACATAAGAGATTATCTTGTAAGATCAGACACTTTTGCGGGTAACAAGAAAAGAGATCGTATTGGTAATGAAGTAGGCTTTTATGCCTGTCATAATAATAAAAACCTTCATTTAAAAACTGCATGTTGTGTTTACTTGTGTTATCTTTGACTAATATTTAAATTAGTTTGATGATCTGAAACATTAAAGTGTGACAAACATGCAAAAAAATAAGAAATCAGGAAGGGGGCCAACACTTTTTCACACCACTGTAGCTTATTCAGATCAATACTAAATAAACAATAACATGCATTTTGTATGATCCCTCTTATTTTGGTAAAATAATGAACATTTAGCAGATTCTGAAAACTTTTGACCTCAGCTGTATTTCGATGAATGGCACAGCACTGTCATTCTGCATCAGACACGCTCTCACCTGGGTGTGAAGTCGCAGCCCTGCTGCATGAAGGCGCCCAGGGAGAACCAGAGACTGTTGAAGATGCCGAACTCGTTGGGGGGCTGGTCGCTGGGCGGACTGTCGGAGCCTTCCTCGGGCTCCTCGGTGTGCCACTCGTACGGGCTGAAGCGGCTGACCAGGAAGAGCACCACGCTCACGCCGATATAGGCGAACACGATGCACATCCAGATCTCGTAGGCCAGAGGGTCCAGGAAGGAGAAGACGCCCGGTTTGGACTTCTGAGGCTTCTTGATCATGATGGAGATGCCCAGACTCATGAAGGGCTTGGAGAAATCGATCACCTCCTCCCGGACCAGAGTGATGGTTAAAGGGGCCACAGCGATTTCCGCTTTCTGTGGAGGAACGAAAAGATTCAGAGGTTCAGAACGTGACGTTCCTATTTAGATTATTTATTGAAACGAAGCTGCAAAAATGAGTAGTTTTTGATGTCAAAACTGGAGAAAAAAAACATTATTTCAAAGTCTCATGCAAACATTGAGGTGATTTTTAAAAAATCGTTTTCAGTTGTTTGTTGTATATTTTGTCATTGTTTACTTGCCTTCATGTCATTTCAAAACACAAAATAATGTATTTGTAAGATTGTTGAGGTTCAAACTAAATTGGACGTCATTGATTTTCATTGTACTGATAAAAAAACATTCTTCAAAACATCATCTTTTATCTTCCACAGAATAAAGCAAATCTTTGTTTGGAACAACATGAGGGTGAGTAAATTAGTTTTTTAATGCTTTTGAAAGAAGATTCTTCTATTCACTAAGGCAGCATTTATTTGATCAAAAATTTAAACAATACAGTAAAATTGTGAAATATTTTTACTATTTGAAATAACTGTTTTCTATGTGAATATATAGTAAACTGTAATTTATTTCTGTGATCAAAGCTGAATTTTCAGCATCATTACTCCAGTCTTCAGTGTCACATGATCTTCAGAAATCATTCTAATATGCTGATTCGCTGCTCAAGAAACATTTCTGATTATTATCAATGTTGAAAACAGTTGTGCTGCCCAATATTTTTGTGGAAACCGTGATACATTTTATTTTTCAGGATTCTTTAATGAATAGAAAGTTCAAAACAACAGCATTTATTTGAAATATAAATCTTTTATAACATTATCAATGTCTTTACTTTCACTTTTGATCAATTTAGTGCATCCTTGCTGAATTAAGAAAAATCTAAAATCTATTAAAAAAATCATACATTTTAAGAAACATTAAAATTTTGTGGACTTTTCATGGACAAAATACTTTAAAACTGTAGAATATGCCTCTTTTATGTAGAGAAACGACAGCAGAAATGACTTGTTTCTGTGTCTGTCTGACCCATTTATTTTTAAGGTCACCAGAACCTCAAGAACCCAATGGTGCAATTTCACACAAAAAAACACGTTCACCAGTAGCTGTTCAAACACCGTCTTTACAGCCCATTACTTTCCACCATCTCCTTCTTTAAGGGGTTTAGAGGATGAAAATCCTTGAGAAATAAAAATTGCAATGCACTTCCTTTTTTATATCACATTTACAGCATATCGCAAGTTTATAAAAAGCCCAGGATTTGAGCGGTTGTGAATGGAGATGGTTTTATCGATGAACGGGCATCTGAGGGACTTGCGACAGTAATATTTACAGCGGCTCAGTGGTTTAAAACCAGTGAAAGGTCGCTGTGAAAGTCGGCCATCTTTTGGCCCTCCTGTAGGAATACAAGAAGTTGTTTCGCTGCTAGATTTAATTAGAGGCCTGTGGCAACAGAGAGAGCAATCCTGTGTTCGTGCCAGCGAGAGGTTGGATTCAGAATCCATGAAACACGTCGAGAGACTAACCACTTACACCTCTTTCTTTATGGTTTTATTTAGGTCCATGCCATAAAGTCTCGCAGATATGAAATGATCCTTAAAAGCAGGAATAAGCTTGACTGTTGCAATGCACCCAAGTGCAGACATACAACAGTTAATGATAAGAGGAAAAACAGGAATTGGAGACATCTTCTCCATGGACTAACACGATATTTAAATACAATATAGTGTATCTACTGTACTATATAACAGTTATATGTCGATGCATCTAGTTGAAAACAGCGTTCGCTTCCTGTCAGCAATTTTCAAAACTTTTATGTTGCACATCCATAGTGAAGCTGTCATTGGCTTAACATGTTTCTTCGAGGTTGACACAAATTGTATTACATTTCGAATACAGCTCTACACCACATAGCTGTATGAAATCGCGCGCATAAATGACAATATGCTTGTTTTCGAACCGACCGCACTGTTTTTTATACAAAAGTACTGAATCAATGAACGGCAGTTCATTGGCTTGATGATGACAGCCTGATTTTCATAAGGTCGGGTAAATTACAACCAATCGATAAAAAGAACTCTGCCCAAATAAGCACCGGTTCGGGTTATGAGTTACTAGTTACTCGTAAGCTTCTTTGGCGTCAAAACGTGATAGATATGTCAGTTTACTGTGCAGGTTTGGCTCTGATCTCATCACAAAATCCACGTCTACTTCCGTCAACATACTGTCTTCCGTCCGCCGACCGGTTACATTAAAAAAAACGTGCTTATTATACTCGCATAAGCTGTTGATACGACAAAAAAGCTTCGATGCGCAATACTGTTAAATACACGGTAGTGATAAGGCAGGTCTTTATCGGAGAAATACGTAAATATATTTGCTATCATCCTGGGTTCGGTCGAACCTTTGCAGACGTAACACAACCGGAAACAAAATGAACAGTACGGTAAAGGTCCCATTTTCTAATTTGCTACTGTAGCTTAAATTAACAATGTTGTGACAGGTATATGACTCTAATACTATAAATATGATTTTTTTTTTTTTTTAAGAAATACAAAATAATAACAACAACAGCAATAATATAATAATTATTTTTTTGGTTCTAAAAATATTATATTTAATATAACCATATATTTTAATATTTGCCTTAAGAATTGAATTATGCTCATTTAGTAAATGAATAAAGGCTGAAAATGGTATGCTGTAATATTATATTTGATTAAATATGTATTGCATATTTTGACAGTTTCTCATTCAAAACAAACATGCAAAAAGCATTATTACAAGAAGTCAGACAAGGCCTTGGAACAGGGATATGACAGTCATCATCATAGGTTATGCTCATTCTATTATAATATCAGTATAACAGCCCAACGTTTTTTGCAACAATGAACGTAACATTTACAAGCATAAAGCCAATACACAAAATATTATGAGACGGTTACAATACATGAAATTCTAAAAATGAATTAAAGCATATTTTATGATTTCATTAGTATTTTATAAACTTTTATATATGTTAGATAATTTTATAAGTAGAAGTTTTAAGTAGAGTTTTTGTAAAGAATTCATATATATATATATATATGTGTGTGTGATTATATATATATATATATATATATATATATATGATAAATTACAAAATATGAAAATTTTATATGAACTTTTATAAATAAAATATTTATATTATTATCATTTTCATATTAACTTTTATATGTAAATTCTGTTCTGTATTTTTTTTCCTAATAATCCCTCAATGAGCCCACAGCTCGTAATTAACGTTTTCTGCAATTTTGCAAGCTGAAAAGAAGAAGAGATTTGGCTCTTGTAATTTCATGTGAGTAATGTCTGAATTCGCATGCACTGTAAAGCATGAACGATTCGGTTGTGTGTGACATCCTCCTCTGAATAAGTGTGTGTGTGTGTGTGTGTGTGTGTGTGCTTTTTCAGCGGCCT